TTCAAAAATCAATTCTTCCCCCAAAAATTTCTACCAAACAAGCACTATATATGTGAGGTAAAAGCTGATACCGCCTCCTCATTGCCAATCGACAAACTTCTTCACACTGAGAGAGATAAGAGTCTCGCAATTGGGGAAATGAAGAGTAGCAAGCAGTAATCTTAAAGTAAATGCATTGATATCAATGTCACGAAAGATAATAACTAGTAAAAATTAGGTTGTATCAATAGAAATTCAGTTGAAATAGGATAATACTATTTCTATACCAGTACAAGGAGATAGCTTGGGTCAAACATAGAGAATAGAAGTATAATGCACAAGATATAACATTTCAGGTAAAACTAAATCACTGATTTGCTACTTCAGGTGGCTTTTACGTACTAGGTATTACTAGGATTTGAGCTAAGTTCCAGAGAACTAATAAGAGAAATTATTTACATAGATTTTTCGACTTCTAACAATTAAATGAAGACCTAATGGGAAACTCAAACAGAGTTAACCACCTGGAACTCCGACATGTAAGAAGTTTCAGGTAAAAGATGAGATGGAACTCAGTAGTTGGAGGACCTAAAATGACTGTATATCACACTGAATTATTTAATTTCATAAAAGATATTTTTAAAATGTAAGTCACCACCTAGTAAAAAAATTAATGCTTAAAAAAAGGGTTCAACTAACTATAACACCCTCTCTCACATTTAAAAATTCTTATTAAATGAATTATGCACTTACATATACTATATCATTTTAGATCTATTGACAACATTGAAGCTATGCAAAAAAATAAAAAATAAAAAAATAAAAAACGTCAGACCATTCTGACTGTAGCAACATTAATTTTTTTTAAACTCGGCTAGCGGGGTACGCCTTGAACCTGCCCGGACCGGTTTTTGGCAGCAAGCGGGGCAGCCCGTGATTCGGCCCACACGGTTCATGGGCTGAATCACGGATTGGTTCACCTCTGGGCGGGCTTGCATCTTGATAAGTCTACGAGCGGATAGTAGTGAAAGCGATACAAAAAATAAAAGAAAACGATTGTGTGGACACACCAATAAGATGAACAAAATCAATGGAGGAATGGTAGCTCTGATACCATGTAGAAATTAAGAAAATTAGGGTTTCTTATTCCAATAAAACTGAATAATGAAATTACGTAATAAATGTGTTTATATAGACTCGCTATAAGATATAGAAAATAGAAAATTTACCAATAATAGAAACCTACTAATAATAGGAAGCAAGTAAATAAATAATAAAATAATCTAACATCAATATCACGTAAATTGGAAGTCTTTTTATTTACCATGTAGACGCAATCCACGAAATGCATGGAGATGCTCTAATGTGATGAGTACTAGTATGGATACGTACGTTGTGCATATGTTGTCGATTAAAATGAAAAGTCGTTTCTTGTTGGGCGCTTTTACTTGCAATGTCATTAGACATTGAATCAAAGGAATAGAGATTGAAATTTGTATTTAACTCCAGTAAAAATTGTTGCTATATCATAGATGAGAAAATGATTTATTTTCCTTTTTGTACAAAATGAGTACAAAGCTCTATAGTTTTTCAAAAACATCAAGGAAAAATCATTTGACTTTGTTATTTTTTAAAGATCAAGGACAGAAACCTGATGAAAAATTAGTTAAGTACAAGATGGATACTTTTTCCAACGTCAAAAAATTGTATGCAATTTACCTTTAAATGAAAGTGCATTTCACCAATAAATTTAATGGTACTTTTGGATGGAAACACACAAAAGGACCAAATTTTGCCAAGAATATAAATTTTGAAATCATTTGCACAAAAAAGATTTAAAGTTTGGACCAAAATCACAAGATGAGCAAACGTTTGAAACCATTTTAGTCAATTTTCCTAAAATAATAATTGATGGACATGGGCCGACAAGTTTAATGAACCCAATTATTGTCAGTTTACCGTGTTGAACAATGCTGAGACCCTCCCTGACGACCCCCTCACAATGGGGGATGTGGGATTTTTTTCTTTTTTAATTCATATGGTCCCGCGTGGGTTCCATCACAATGTGAAAGGATTTTTTTTTCTTTTTTAATTAGTCTAATCGCGCAATCCCGTGGGTCGGTATTTCCTATTGATTGATTTTCTTCCTTTTTTTGGCCGAATTTTTTTTTTCTTTCTTTCTAATATTCAATAATACTATTTCCAGTGAAAACTATCGGTAGTCGTTATGATAATTTATTTTTTGATGCATGAAAAAATAATAAAAAACTACCACATTAATGCATCAAATAACAAACAACCTTGCATATGCCATGTAGACGACCACTGTTAGTCTTCACTTTCTAATCTGTACGTACATTCTTGGATGACATTGTTTTTGATATTGTGCGAGTTATCAAAATTTGTGTCATTAATTATTTAAATGGTCGTTAATGTACAATTTGCAAGATTGGGTAAATAATGGCACGTTCAAATTTAGGTGCAGCCTGAATTGACCTTCGAATGGCATAATTATGATTAAATTATCTTTGATTAGACCCATGCTAAAAAGATAAGTCACAAGAAAGAAAAAAAATAACTTACCTTACAATGGTGGCGGATGACCAATATTGACCTAAGGATTACATCATACCATTCAAATTATATATTAAGGTGCTTGATACGTTAAATCGAATATTATTACCGTGGTTGAAAGACTACTGATAGTTGAGAGCACTTGTTAGCTTTGTAGAGGAACAATAAGAAAAAATAGTCTTTGATATTATAGTCTCGGAGACGTTCGATGACCATTTTTTTTTTTTGAAAACCCTTATTTTGAATAGTGAATTTTTGAAGAATATATTATTAAAAAGTAAAAAAATATTTAGGTTTACATGTAGAATATTTTATTACGTGGATATGTTGTTGAAAATAAGTACATAGATTTTTTTTTTTTTTTTTTTTTGATAAAATAAGAGACAAACATGAGCTAAATTTCCTAATATAGCTAGATTTCGCTCAATAGAAAGTTAAGCTTCATGCGACTTTCCAATCATATGTTCTTCTGGTTTGGGCTCGACGAGTGGCCTATGGAACTGCATCCCTATTAGGGTTGTACGTGGGTCGATTCGGTTCGATTCTGAAGAGACCCGAACCGATCCAAAATTTTCGGGTATTTAATAAATGGACCCGTCGGGGTCCAAGTATAATTATGGAATCGTTCGGGTTCCGTTCCGTTCCGTTCGGTTCGGTTCAAATACCAAAAAGTAGATATTAATATTACACAAAAATTACATAAAGTATATTCATTTGCTTCAAATTAAAATGGGCTAATGGATTTTTAAAATGATTTGGGCTTTAAAATTAAAATTATGAAATAGTCTGATTTATTTAATTAATTTGCTAATTTGTATAGAAAAAATAAAATAATTTAATTAATTCAAGATAAAAATAAAAAAATTATTTAGTTTCGATTCTTATTCGATTCTTGATCTAGACCCGAGACCCGACCCAAACCATCGGTTCTCTATTCGAGTACCCGTTCGAGTATTTAATTTATGAAGAACCGTTCGGTTCGATTCGATTCGAGACTTTTGGACACCCCTAATCCCTATTCACTTGGTCCATGCACATCACTAACAATTTGAAGCTTGGATAATTATTGAGGTTATTGTCTATTTGGACATTGGTGCTATCCACGATAAGGTGTGACTTATCCAAGTTAATATGAATATCAAGTGGATCATTTATCCTTCGCACACTTGCCGGTGAAGTTTTGGGCCAACTTTGCTAATAAGTGGAAACCATGCATATATTAAAGTGATACCTCACTAATTATTCATTCACATGTCAACCCTTTGTGACAAGGACTTCGCTTATTTGAATGTACAAAGTTGTGTTTCCTACTATTTGGTATACAACTTGTTGATGCTACGCTTCAATCTTTTAAGTTAATTTGTTAGTGGATAGAGTCCAAATGATATCAATTTTCTTTTTTTTGGATTATATTATTTATATTATTACAAAACTAATCGCTTTCTTGAATGTGAACATCACTTGAAAGATTATTTTTTTAGAAGTTCAGAGGTTCAAGTCTAAAAATGAATGGACATATCGTACAAAACTCAAATTTAAGTTGATGTGAATGTCTAACCTTATTTAATTTCTTACTTCTAAAATATTATAAATAGTAGTTTGCTCTTCTTGATACTACTTTTCTAGTCTTCTTGATGCGGGCATCTCTTATAAGAGAAGGAAAATGTATGGATGATTTACAAGTTAATTTCAGCAACGGCTATTATTGAAGTAATTTTCTTATTAAAGTAATCTTACGTGTCATCATGAGCATAAACAACTTAATGAATACACCAAGTCACAATTAATCGTGTTTCCTTTTGAAAATAAAAAAATCGTATGTCAACAAACAACTAATCCCAACAAAAGGACTTCAAATACTTTATTACATTCCCAATCTGCAACCCTTGTTCAAAGGGATCGACTTTCTTCTTCAACCTTAACCCAATATGACATGACATACTAATTAACACCTTTTGTGCCATTATGGAATTTGACGTTGTTGACGTTTATAGCCGAGTGAACATTGGTATAAACGTGACGAACTTTAGTAACTAGTAAAGTAAGAAAAATTACTTCAATAACCATTTTGAAATTTATTACAAATAAATAATTCCAGAAATGTTTCCATCATTAGATCCCAAATCAAAACTTTACCAAACCTAATCCTCACAATGGACAGTTTGTGTCGGCGCAGAACATACAGCAAAATCAAACAATAGAAATCCTCCTGTATTTGCGCGTGTTGTATTACTGGAGTTTCTATAAAATGCGCAATGTCTTTCTCGAGTTTTTCAGCTAAAATTCCTCTTCCCCAAATTCAAACCAGAAGAAGAAATATTTACATTTCCCGAGATAAACCGAGTTATTCTTCACTGTTTCAAACAAACTTCGGTACAGTTTTAACCAACTACCCGTTTGTCTCCATTTCGAGTTGTAGACAGACCCAAACTAATTTTTGTGCAACTATGGAAGATTACAATAATACAGAGTTTGAATCCCTTTTGTCGGATAAGTATTTCAAAGAATTGGAAGTTGCGGTAAAGGCAGTGCAGATGGCGTGCTTGCTCTGCCAGAGAATTCAACAAAGTTTACTTTCTAAAACAAATGACCACGTACAATCCAAGGATGATAACTCCCCTGTTACAATTGCGGGTAATTCTTTTACCCTTTTCTTGAAATGGGTTACGGTTAAAATTTTGTTCTCTGTATCTTGTTTTACTGTTCTGTTGGTTTTTGACGCCAAATCTTTTATCTCCTACTCTCCTAAATTCGGTTAAAAAATGTTCCGGTTTTTTAATTCGATTATATTCTGTGGATTTGGATTAGAAAATGTGGCAGAAATTGATTGTCTGATGAGCAAATATCAGCTCGTAAGGAATTGTTATGGGCAATTCTTATTGAATTACTGGAAAACGAAGATGTTAGTTTGCATCCCACCCCCTCAAAATGAATTTTTTTTTTGTTCCATTTGGTGAATTAAACTAAACGTTTCTATTATCTATAAAAGGAATTAGAGTGTTGATTCTATCTTACTGATTGCTGAACCTGTAATGGGATTCGAATGAGCGGATGAAACTTGATTTCTCTAATGTCAAACCAAACTGGACTTCATGAGCTGCTGAGTCTTTGCTGACATTGAAATGCGACGTATGAGCTTGATTTTTATGTGCATCATTATAAATTTTATATGGTGAAAGAAAATTATATGCCTCTATAACAATGAAGGAGAGTATTTAAGATTGTATAAAATACAGAGGTATTAAGCTCATAACTCATATTGTTAAATTATAAGAGAGGATAGTTGAACATAAAGTAATTCAAATTTATTAGAAAACCATTTTGGTTCTATTCTGTGGACATCTATCGTGGAAGCAATTTACTTGAAGATTAATGAATAAGTACAGACAAAGAGACAGAGAAGCAATATTTGCTCATGATTTTTTCTAATTTAGCAAGAGCAAATCATAAGGCGCGTTCATAAAAGCACAACGGCCATTGCTAAGGGAAAAAAAAAAAAGAATTTCTATTTTTAAGAATATATATGTATGACTGATCAATTATATGTATGAAGTCTAGTAGGGATAGTGGCAGAGAATTTTATATTCTTACATAATTATATCAATTTTGCACATTCAGCCCCTATCTTTTAACTTTATTCATTTCTGAACTTACAAGACATGTTCAAAAGTAATTTTTTGATGTAATTATTCACATCCAGATAGCATAATTTTACAGTAAAGAAAGAAAATCCAATTTCACTTAATTTTTGTCCATAATTGTGATAGAAATTTTATGAAGCTTCTACTGCCTCAAGCCAGTTTACGGAAATTGAAGAACATCCAATGTGCTAACATTATTTCTCGTAACCACAAATTAAAGCCCCTTTTCTTATTTTTATGTGAAATTTTCACCAATTCTATCATGCTCATGTCAAATATAATGTGTATTATGCCCAAATCAAATGAGTAGCGTTCAGGCTCATGCCATGTGTCCTAAAGATCCTACTTTGAGCATAGAATTAATTGTACAAAAATATAGGACTTGACAATTTGACTTCCGAAAGGCCTAGCTCTAATAGGTTTATATGACATAGGTTGGATCGGCTAATGCTCCAATTGCTACTTGTAAGCAGATTGGAGTGTCCAAGGAATTGTGAGCTGGGTACTATCCGAGTCTCTTGGTAGTGATAATGTATCCATTGTTGCTGAAGAAGATGTTCAAGTACTATCCAAGGTTACCGCGATTGGGTTATTGGAAGCAATAGTGAAGACAGTTAATGAGTGTCTGGCCGAAGCACCCCAGTTTGGACTTAGAGCACCGGTTATGGCTCTCAGTACTTCAGAGGTTCTCGAAGCCATTGATAGATGCAACTCAATGGGGGGCTCTAGTGGAAGATTTTGGGTGCTGGATCCTGTTGATGGCACATTGGGATTTCTACGTGGGGATCAATATGCGATTGCACTTGCTTTGATTGAAGATGGAGAACCTGTGCTTGGAGTTCTAGGATGCCCAAATTATCCTGTGAAGAAGGAATGGCTGAGTTACCATAATGGCTATCGTAGAATTGTATCTAACTTAACGTCACTGTCATCTGAATCTTGGGATAGAGGTTGCGTGGTTTATGCAAGTCAAAATTGTGGTAATGCTTGGATGCAGCCATTACTCCATAAAGAAAATAAATTTATTTGGCCGAACTCTGCAAAGCAAATCAAAGTCTCCACTGTTGATAACCCAGCATTGGCGACCTTTTGTGAACCAGTTGAAAAGGCTAATTCAAGTCATTCCTTCACAGCAGGAGTAGCTCACAGTGTTGGACTTAGGTAAATATGTTTCTTCGTTCGCTTCTGCTTTCTGGAACTCCATACACAGGGCCAGTGTATTATCGTGATTGATTTCCTATAACTTGCTGTCTTCTAACTTAACCATATAATTCCAAATGGGCAAAAACTTAACTATAACTCAAAGAGTCAAAGAGGTCAACAGATAAGTAACCCGAAACAAAACAGAATTGGGAATCAAACCATTTTCTGTAAATGAGTTCATTTTGTACTTTCACAATGGGTATTGATCACAGGAATCAACCATTACGTATTCATTCCATGGTAAAGTACGCAGCCATAGCCCGAGGAGATGCTGAAGTATTCATGAAGTTTGCCCGGGCAGGCTACAAGGAGAAAATATGGGATCATGCTGCTGGTGTTGTTATCGTTCAAGAAGCCGGTGGTGTGGTAACTGATGCCGGAGGTCATCCTCTATGCTTTTCTAAAGGTCTGTACTTGGAAGGTCTCGACCGGGGTGTAATTGCTTGTGCTGGAGCTAAATTACATGAGAAGATTGTCAAGGCTGTTGATGCTAGCTGGAATTCTTCTAGCCTTTAATTTCACTTGTACGTTGCCAAGTTATCCATAGCATTGTCTTGACATTATAGATATTGTAATTTTGCTTATCAGGATAATACAAGATCATCATGCTATACGAATAAAATGGTAATGTTTATTTCTTTACTGCACACGTATCATGAGAAGCTTCTGTCTTTCAAATTCTTATATAACTCCATGGCCTAATTGTCAAAGTGTGTCTATATCAGTCGACCGACTTCTTTCTCTAAACCAATTATAAAATCTAGGCTTTGGTTCTTGCTTATCCAACTTTCTTTCTGCTGCCCTGCTTCTTTTGGTGTCAATGCCAATTTTAATCCTCATTGTACGAGATGGATGTAGTGAAAATGAGGATTTCTAAATGGATGCATGTTTGTATTAAGGTGGATAAGATATGAAATGAGAATCCAAAAGTGGAGATGGAGTCGATTGAAGATAAGTTATGGAACGACAGCCTAGGTGTTGAGACAGCTTTGTTTAATAATTACTAACACACGCTTAGGCTGTAGAAATTGAAGGGATCTATGGGATGAGGCCGCCAATATGGTGTAAATGATGATATTGAGCACCTCTCTTTGATGGCCTTTAATTGAAAACTCTTTTTACTATACGCTCATTTTCAATTACACATTCACACGATAAAATATTCTGCACGTAAACCAAGAACTTTCCCCGACTTTTTAATCGTACATTCTCCTAAAAATCATTATTCAAAATTGTTGTGATAATTATGCCCAAAATCTTTGATATCAATTGTTGAGAATTGAAGGATCACATATCGCTTGATACCACTTGATATGAAACCAACCATCGGATTGAGATGATAAAGTTATATGGTAAAACATGAAGTATATGATTGCAAGCAAAAGAATAAAAAAAGACAAGAAAATATAACACAGGAATTATGAGATTTTATTGCACTACAAATAATGAAGATGAAGAAGTATTGCAATGATCCAAAAATATAAAGTAATCATTTTTCTCACTCTATTCTCACGTCATAAAATTGTATAGAAGAGTTTAATATTTATAGGGAACATGTATGATGTCCTAACCCTCATAGTAGAGTTATTGATGAAATAGAATGTCAAAAAATTGAGTCCAAAACGAAAAAGGAGAGAAAAACACTAAAATCCCTGGATAGACACAGGTGGTGGCATTGCGATACCCAGGGCAAAATACCGAATAGGGGCGCCGGTACCGCAACAACGTCGAGCATTTTACCTTCTCTTTTTTTCGTTTCAAGTTGTTTTCTTCATCCGAACTCTTTTTCAACAATATCAATTTTCAACTCCTAATGGGCTTCAGAAATAGAACTTCAACTTGATATAGGATTCCAATAGCATTCCAAACTGAATTCTTCTTGCCGTCCACTTCAATTAGAATTCTTCAATTACTTCAACAAGGAATTCGGGGTACACCTAAATTCTAACAATTTCCACACTAACACAAATTTCACTGCAACAAACAAAGCTCCAAAATATTCTCCACCTGGAGAAGAAAATCTGTCTACAAGGAATGAACTGACTCTTCAACAATAACCAAACCGATTTCTCCAACTAAATACAAAATTTTTTTAAAGAAGACTAATTCACTACGTTGAAAGCATGTTCAACAAAATCAGCATCCACATACATTTTTCCACTCGGTCCGTCCCTAGCAATTGAATACAATAACACCACAAGTGATGGTGGCAAATCTACATTATCCATATCTCCCAAACTCTACTGAGCTATATTCTTCAAATTGCTCAGGGTATTGTACCAAATTGAATGTCCACCACGGTACTAAATATGTGCTGATTAACTCTTCTGGATTCTGCACGACCTTGGAAGATGTATAACTGAGACATTTTCTGTCTCTCCAATACAACTTGGGCCCTTACAAACCTTCAAAACTCCACTTCCACCAAAGAACTCATAACCCTTTGAATCAAGGATAGATAAGAAAGTGAGATTCTTCTTCAAGCCAAGTGTTTTAATTGTCCCATCTAATAGCTTCAATTTGATAGTACCAATTTTAGTAACCAGACAACATGCGTTGTTTCCCATAACCACGAGACATTTGGAAACAATTTCATATGTAATAAACAAGTTTTTATCAGGACATATATGAAACACACACTCTGAATTTAGAATCCAATCCTTCTCTGGTTTAGACCCGATGTCAGAAATAGCCAAGAGATCTCCCTTAGTTACAATGTTCTCTACAAGGTCTGTTTTACCTGAAGTTTATGATTGCTTTCCATATCGACTTGCAGCCAACCTTTCTTTATTTTACAATTTGTAGCAATCCTTCTTAATATCTCTCTTTTTGCAGAAGTTACAAATCTAATTATTGAACTTAGACTTTAATCTGCCCCTTTCAAATCTACTATGAGCAACCAGGGCTTCTCCATTTCTAGCCTCAGAAAAGAGATGCTTCATCTTTTCTTTTTAAAACAGAGCATCATACACCTCCTCCATGGTGAGAGTATCACGACTATACAAAAAAACGAAGTGGACAACAAACATTATGGTGAGAGTATCACGAGTATCAAGGCCAAATCTTCTTCATCGTACTTTACTTCCAAAGTTTCCAAATCAGCGACGATCTCTTTAAATATAGTCAGGTGATCTTCCAATGATCCTCATTTTGTCATTCGATGAGAGTATAAACGCCGCTTAAAATGCAACTTGCTCCAACTTCAACCATAAAAAAGCGTTTTATCCTCATTCAAAACGTCCTGAAGAATGGTATTCGATAGATGAAGATGAATGTGAGAAACTACCTTCTATCCTTCTGTAATCTCTCCTTTGCGGTCAAAGTTGCGGGGCATCTTGTCAATTCTCAACAATACATCATCCAAATCTTGTTGTGAGAGTACTGTACGCATCTTAACCTGCCATAGCAAAAATCTAGTGCTCCAAAGCGGAATGTCATACTTCATGGAAGCCATCACGAACAAAACCTCAAACAAATCAAACCTTGCGCTTTGCGGAATTCCTGAACCTAGGCTCTGATACTACTTATGTTAATTATACCCGAAATCTCTGATACCAATTATTGGGAATTCAAGGATTACATATCGTTCGATACCAATTGATATGAAACCAACCAAGATGTTGAATGTGATCACAATCAAAAAAATAAAAGAAGATAAGAAAATATGATAGATGAATTATAAGATTTTATTGCACCACAAATAATGAAGAGGAGAAATATTGCAATGATCCTAAAAGCTAGTAATTACTTTTCTTACTCTATTCTCACATCATAAAATTGTATAGAAGAACCTAATATTTATAGGGAACATATAGGGGACGTCCAAACTCTTCTAGTAGAGTTGTTGAAGTAGAATGCTAAAAAATCAAATCCAAAACGAAAAAAGGAGAGAAAAACGCCAAAATCCGAGTGCCTTGACGCTCGGGGTAAAATATCGAACAGGGGTGCCGGTGCCCTACAGCATCGGGCATTCTGCCCTATTCTTCCTTTTTTTCGTTCCAAGTTGTTTTCTTCATCCTGAACTCTTCTTCAAGTCCAATATCAATTTCAACTCTCAACAAACTTCCAAAATAGAACTTCAATTTGACATAGGACTGCAATAGCATTCCAAACTGAATTCTTCTTGACATGCACTTCAATTAGAATTCTTCAATTACTTCAATAAGGAATTCGGTTCACACCCAAATTCTAACAAAAAAATTGTTTTTTTTTTCCAAATAACGACCATCAACCAGGGGCTCGGATGCCTTTTTGGGTAAGTAGTTGGCCCTCCTGGCCTCCTCCTTTAATGGCTCTGCTTCTCTTGTTTCCATGTTGTGGCTGTCTATTTGGTGTTGCACTGGAGGGATTCAGCGAGGTAGTGGAAAATATGACCCATATTCATATCTGTGGAACACATACGAGTGCGTTCCAATGACCCACAACAAGTTCTGTTCTAAGTGAAGTTAGCTATGGAACTTTTTTGCAATTGGACTCGATAAATGAAATGAATTTGGATCCTCAGCCTTATCCTGGACCAAAAATTCAATTCTGATGAAGTCCCATTTGCATAGGCGCACAGGGAATTCTTCGTAGTTTGTGGTGCCAGAGCTATACCACTACAACCCGTTGTGCAGGTAACATATATTACGTTCCAAAAAATGGATTTCTAAGTCTCTCATTGCATTTGTATCTTACATTGTGCGTGTTTTACACATTTGTCATACGTGCATCTAACAATTTAGTTGTGATTGAACCCCTAGTCAGGTTGCAAAATATCTACTATGATCTACCTTTATTTGATAGAACCATTCGTCCGAAAATTTAATTTGCTGAAAAATCTATTTATTTCTACACATATCATCTTCACATCCCCTTATATTTGCTATTTTAGTATGTTCGTTAGGTAAATATAGAATTTTGAGCGAATTTAAAACTTAAAACGATGATTGTGGACTAAGAGGAAGACATGTTCGATATACCTGAGGCAAAGGAGTTGATAAGTGTATTTTATACACTTATTCTGGCTCTAAAATATTGACACTTTGTAATTCTTTTAATGAAATTATAGCCTAATTTATTATATAATGTGTTATTAGCTGAAACTTGATGAATGGATGTGAAATTGAAAGAAAGAAGCGAAAAATGGCAAGATCCAAAGTTTGGGGCTAAAGTGCAAATACTCAAAAGTTGTGTCGGAGCGCATGATGAAGATTCGATAATGCTAGGGGTCAAATGGATACAACTAAAGGTCAAAATGAGTGAAATATGACCAAAATATTTTCACAAATCAATTTTCAACTGCACATGGATGTTCCAGATTTTTGGTCATAGATTGAGACCTATTTTTGGCCTAGTAAACGTTTGAATTGGAAAAGAGCTATATTAAATTTGTAGCTCTTTAAGTTATCTTTCCAATGTATCTTCAATTACCTCAATCGGAGATCGAGAGAGAAAGTTTTAACAAAAATACTGAAGCAGACGCATAGTGGACAGAAACTCAGCGCCCAGGCGCTGCACAAGCCCAGAATTTACAGATCCCAGGCGTTGTCCCGTAGCGCCTAGGTGCCGTGCGCTGCCACAGATTTTACGTTTTTATTGTTTGGGCAGTAAAAACTTCACAAAAAGACTCCAAATTAGCCAAGAACGTATAGAGAAGTATAAACAGAACTAAGGATGATTGAAAAGGGGGTTCCAAACATTGAGAAAGGGGGGAGTCGACACATTGAGAGCCTCCATTACTCATTCCAAACAACACAAACACATGGAACTTTGAAGATTTGAGAAGGAATTCAAGGAAGACCCCAGCAAAAGGATTTATTCTACTCAATGGGAGGGAAANGGCAAGATCCAAAGTTTGGGGCTAAAGTGCAAATACTCAAAAGTTGTGTCGGAGCGCATGATGAAGATTCGATAATGCTAGGGGTCAAATGGATACAACTAAAGGTCAAAATGAGTGAAATATGACCAAAATATTTTCACAAATCAATTTTCAACTGCACATGGATGTTCCAGATTTTTGGTCATAGATTGAGACCTATTTTTGGCCTAGTAAACGTTTGAATTGGAAAAGAGCTATATTAAATTTGTAGCTCTTTAAGTTATCTTTCCAATGTATCTTCAATTACCTCAATCGGAGATCGAGAGAGAAAGTTTTAACAAAAATACTGAAGCAGACGCATAGTGGACAGAAACTCAGCGCCCAGGCGCTGCACAAGCCCAGAATTTACAGATCCCAGGCGCTGTCCCGTAGCGCCTAGGTGCTACGCACTACCACAGATTTTAGGTTTTTATTGTTTGGGCCGTAAAAACTCCACAAAAAGACTCCAAATTGGCCAAGAACGTATAGAGAAGTATAAATAGAACTAAGGATGATTGAAAAGGGGGTTCCAAATATTGAGAAACGAGGGAGTCGACACATTGAGAGCCTCCATTACTCATTCCAAACAACACAAACACGTGGAACTTTGAAGATTTGAGGAGGAATTCAAGGAAGAACACAGCAAAAGAATTTATTCTACTCATTGGGAGGGAAAGCATATACAATTGGAGATTCAAATGAGGAAAATATCGCGCAAACCACGTTTTGAAGCATCAATTGGAGGCGGAAGAAGATCTTGGTGCAAGATCAATCTCTCATTCCATATTATTCTTCTAAACCCGGTGATGTACTCTATAATAATTTTGTATTTTTCTTTCATTCCCATGAGTAGTTAAATCTGATTTAGTGCGAACAATGTAACCAATTGGGATCCTTTATTTCTTTAAATTGAGATTCTTGTGCTTTTATTTTATGTGTTGATTTTGCTATATTCTCAATGCATTTAATTACTTGATCGCTAATTAAATGATTTCGTGAACAATAATTATGTAGAGTTGCAGATTGTTGTTTAGACCAAGTAGTAAATTCTGGTAAATTGGCATAATGTGTAGAGATACCTATGTTAATTGCTACGGTCATAATTGAATTCTTAGAACAGATGTTTCGTTTAACTAAATGTCAATTTGCATAGAGATATGGAATTGAATTAGTTAAATAGATTCAATGAGAACTCGAGATGGGTAAATTGAATACAATAGAAGAATTCGACCTAACACTACCTTAGATTGTATGAATCTTGATTTAAGAAGTAAATGTGATAAATATGTGAAATTGTTCTGCCCTAATATCCGTTATTCTTTGAATTTCCAATCAATCCCTTTTACATTCAGTTAAATTTCAAATATTTCAATTCAAAAATTCATAACCAATCATTGTTCTTGTTTATTTGAATCAAATAAAAGTTATAAAAAGTAGATTAAGACTAAATTATAGTCCTCGTGGGAACGATAATCTGGACTCAAAGGCCCACTTTACTACTTGTTACGATATCGTATACTTGCGATATAAAAAAACGCAACAGGAGTCATAGGTGGTGGTGGCGGCAATGGAGTTGGGTATGGGGGTCCCAATGGAGGGTACTCTAAAGGAGGGACCATAAAGCCTACTGTAGTGTGCCAAGAAAAGGGTCCATGTTACAAGAAAATGCTGGGATGTCCAGCTAGGACATCCAAGTGTTTCACTTGGTTCAGCGGTTCCATGAAGGGCTCTGGCTATGGTGGAGGGGCGATGGATGCACCATGGACTGCAAGAAGACATGTTCTGCACATTGTTAAGCTGAGCTAATAAGCTAGTAATATATCTCGCAATAATGGTTTTTTATACTACTGCTATTTGCATGTGATGCCAGTACTATAGTTTTGTTGCTATTGGTTTGGCTAAAACTACTAAACTTATATATATACAGCTCAGTTCATCTTCTACTACAAAAATGACAGGCTGTGTATGTGGGACCTCCATAAATTCATGAAATTTATCAAAAATCAATTGTAAGAAATGTTTCTGGGAGACTTCAGGTGTCAAACAATGAATTTTACAGGCATAAAGATCTATATGATCCTTACCATAAAATACAGCAGGTACATCTATCTAGTTTCTAGCCCTTTCTAAGAAGTCTTCTCATCACTGTCAAACACTGTAATACAAAAAAATGGACACACAATATAGAACAGGCTTTACATGTGCTGCTCAGTTTTCTATCTGCACCTCTTAATGGCCTGTGGAATAGTAACCAGTATTCACGGGAAATTACTCATCGAGTTTGTGAGAGACGATGTATTAGATTGCAGCTCTCATGGCTCCCCGTGCAGCCTCACGCTTCATCTCTGCAGCTTTGCCACTGCCTCGGAAGTACATGTATACTTGCTGTGGTGATGAGAAAACAATATTTTAGTGACAAGTGCAAGCCGATCTCTTGCTTGGACAGCGGTATAATTTCAGAGATAGATGAAGTTAGGGAAAAGGACCAGAAAAAAGAAAGAGGAGAACTTAGCGACATCAAAGTCAGACCTGAATAACCCAGACACTGAGCACGGATTCAAGACAGAACAGTCCAAACCCGATGAAGTAGAAAACCTGCAAAGAAAAACAACACAAATATTGTGACAAGACACTTCTGTAGATCTAAGCTTATATCAGATTGAAGACTGGATGGAAGCTAATGGAGTACTTCCATCAAATTATAACTTATGCAGCTTGAGCAAGAATCTGAACATGACCAAAGAATATAATCCAACAAGAACTAAGCTTACCCCGACTATTACGTGTTTGCCAATGAAATCTACAGCTGGAAGGATGCCTCTGTTTAAACACCACCAAACGACAGATAATAATAAGCCAATTTGACCCATCAGTAAGCATATACATACATTTCAGTTAGCTAAATATCAGCAAAGAGAAGAAGGGGTAAGAGCCAAAAAACTTCAATAGACTAATTACTATTGATAGGGCATTGAGGCAATGCAAAGCACATGATTATTATCAGTTACACAAGGAAGTGAAATGAACTTCACTGGCCTGAAGTTACAGGAAAAAAAAATATGTTAAAAGAAACATAATCAAGGAACTTACGCCAGAGATTTTCCTTTGAAGACGACAGGAGGAGCAACAGCGGCAAAAATGCAGAAGCCAATGTGGAGCTATAAACAAGGGCATAAGATGGTGAATACTTTTAAGACTGGACTAAAGAAAATATAAGGTTCATAATAATATAGGAAACTTACCAAGTAAAACAGGAAAAACCACCCAAACTTCATAGCACTTTCAGTCCTGTAACATGGATACTAACTCAACCAAATGAACAGGAGCAAAACTATTCATCAAATATTAATATGTTATGCAACTGAATGCATAGCAACTTATCTTGTTAATTAATCTAGATCTCTATATTAATTCAACTAATCTCTTGCACAATATGTTACGTTAGGCATGCGTAAGGAGTACAAGTCCATTAGTTTTGTACTATTAAATCCTTTTGAACCTCCCACATGATCCAAAAGATTTATGATATATCAACCATAAATGTAAAGCTTAACTTTGTAAAAATATAGAAACGCGTACCTAAAAGCACGATAGAGTGGACGATACCACAATACATATGCTCCTGGAACCCCTGATATGAAGTAGATAATAGAAAGAAACCAAATCTTTGGATCTAGAAAAAATATATTGAAGTCAGGACGACTATTACAAAAAGGCACGTATCACAGAGGAATAGGCTGGACGATAATTATTGATGCAAACCTCCATCTTTAATCCATGCAGTAGTGACAGCTATGACATTCCAGAAAAGAGACAATGCAAGTCCTGGTCATACAGTACATACATCATCAATAACCCCTTCCAACACCCACGAAAGCCAGAGAGAGGAGAGTTGCAGTTTTAGATACTCAAATAACATACAAGCTATCATATTACAGAAGGAAATAATGAGCAAAACATTCAATAAACATTGGTCTCTACTAACTCACAAAAGCATTTGAACTTCTCCAACACAGACATGTATACAAGAAACTTTTTTAGATATCCAAGCATCAAAAAATGAGACAAGGATTTTGCCACCCCCTGCAAATGTTGAACTGATGCTCCACAGTTAAAGTAACTTTTAACCATCTCAATATAATAGGTATCTTTAGATGCATGCAAATAATCTGGCAACTACTGTAGTATCTAAAAGGAGAAAGCCTAAACCAGCGCAAAAGGCCGTCTCTCATCAATTAATACATTTAAGAGTTGTGTAAAAAGAGAATATAGAACAAAGGTGAATTTGATTCCAATCTTCATGAATCATAACAGAAACAAAATCATTTCAGATGGCACAAAATGTCAGCCAACAGCATTGACAGTGACAAATTATTTCGATTACATGAATAAGTAGAAATGAGGAATAGCACGTTCAGTCAACTCAGTCAAGTCTAATCTACAGGTGAGGATACCAAGTCCACCACCTAGGCACAGATGGATTTTGAGAAATAAAAAAAAAAGAAAAAAAAAAGTTCAATAAACTCAAACTTCTTTCTCATCTTATTTGGAAGGAATTGTGACAAGAGAGTACAACATCAGGATAACAAAGAAAGAATTTCAGGGAGTAATAAGAAAACCACAAAGTTACATACTAGCAGAACTTGACATACCTAACAAAGTTGTAAAAGCAACATACTGCAGTTTCTGTAGATGAATCGGTATTTCATTTGCAATATCATGATGTATAATAGGAAAAAAGGGTGGCCAGTTTTTCTCCTCAAGAACAATACCAGCTGCAAAGTTACAAAAATCAAGGGAGATACAGTCAAATATAGCTGAACATTATATATCTCTACCAATGTTCTCCAAGGAAGTGGGACATAATTTGACACATTTCAGCCATCTAAAAGATCTGGAAAGTCGGAAATGGAAAAAAATGCTACCAAGGCGCAAAATGAGAAGATAAATAGCTCAAAGTCTGAAAAATGAAATTATGTACAGTTCTTCAAACTAGTTAAAGCATATATGATAAGGGTGTTTAATTGCATACATTCTTTTTAGAAAATAATAAACTATTTAAATGAACTTCTATAAGAAAAGTAGTTGTTTAAAGTGACTTTTATGCGTAGATAGAGACAAAAAACAATTAAAAAATTGCTAAGACGGACTGGATGGTGCTTTTTCATTTTTTTCCCCCTTTGGAGAAGGTTGATATGATGAAACAGAGAAGAGAAGCCGCTCTTATGGTGCCCCCACCTTTTGTAAAAAGTAACGAAGAATAATTGTATCATGATCGAAGAGAGTGCAATTTTACATATGCAGTGGTTTGATACTTTAAAATCATACCAAAAGGGAATTGTGAAAAAATTGACAAGGTGAAGCCACGCTGCTTTAGGGTTAAATGACTAATAAGTCTTTTTTTTTTTTTTTAATCTTTTTTCCTAGGTTTTGTGGGGAGGGGGTGTTTAAGTGTCAGAGAAGGTCATAAATGGATCCGATAAGAGCAGACAAAGCACCTCGTCTAGCAGCCTCTTCTCTCCGCTTTACTTCCTGTGGAGCATTATTAAAATAAGAACATGTTAAGAATGCAATGCTTCAAAAGCAAACAAAAAGTTATACAGCTGGCCAATCGATATACCACTATCCTCCAACATAATAATATCTCAAACAAGACTTTAGGAACCTACTTCAACCTTGTTGCAAAATTTATTAATTTCTAGCAACATAAAATCTTCATACTGTCAAGAAGTTCCTTTGTGATACACGTGTTAGCATATCTGTTGACATATGTGCAACTTTATGAATCTATGCATATGAGTACAAATCTTATGGATGTTTTACGGTAATAATTAGACATTACAATGTGCTCAAAGATGAAGTTCAATTTAATGGCTTGCAATCAACAGGGTTCCAACAAAAACAACTATCTTTTTATTTTTTTTTCATTCACGCTATTATTTTGGTGACATGATGTATAAAGATTCCTTTGTACGAAAACAGCGTAAAAGAGGGCAGACCTTCTAGGCTATACATCTCACTACCATTAGTTACTAGAAAACGCATGCCAGTTCAACATTAGAGAAAGTAATATGAGCTTGCTATATCTTAAAACAAAAGTTGTTCAAAATTTAAATATTTAATTAATATCTCATCAAAGAGATAAAATAGGGGAGCTATGATCTTGAATTGAGCATACCAAAAGGCAATTAGGTGAGGGTTTTGCATTCCATAGTCACTTTCATGATTTAACCATTAGTTGATGGCTACAAGTAAAGCTAGCACTATCAATTATGGAGATTAAGAACAGGATCAATTCAAACAATTAATGATGAGTCATTTTTTCTTAAAAAAGGGACACAATATTAGGCAGATCTAGTGATTGGAAATTCATGTCCAGAAGTTTAGGATTTTCATAGAGTAAATACCTGTTCCCTCCTTTTCAATTCAGCTTCCTTAGCTTGCAGCTCTCTCTCTTTTGTTTTCAAATCCTATATTTAAAATTGACATGATCGGGTCATTAAATTAACATATATCAAGAAAACAGATGATAAATCTGGGACTGCATAATAATAATAATAAGTTACACGTACAGCAGCACTGTCAAGAGGAATATCAAATGGGGCAGTAGGATTGTAGAAATCAGCAGGTTCTGGAGGAAGAGGTGAAAGCCTGGAGTTTGTGGCAGAGGGAACACTCCCAGTCTGGAAACCAAAGAAAAATATATTGAATAGAAGAGTTCAAAAAGGTGGTTATAACCAAGCAACATAATTCATTACAGTAATTGATAGAACCTAAAATCAAATCACTATTTTAGCAATGAGAACTACCCAGAAATGGAATTACTCATGCGAGAATAGAACATTATGAACAAAAATGCATCTAATTCATCCATATTTAAATCTTTAAGCAGTTTAATTTTAAAATATAGGTTCAAGAATTAGAGTATATTTACTAACAGTTTTCACAAGACATTTCTTTTCATCATGTGTAGGAGAATAAAGATGAACTCACAGTGGTATAAAATGAACCTCCACCTCCACTAAACGTAGACTGACCCATTGCTTTTCCTCTAGCTCCTCCATCCTGATGTCAAAAAAATAAAAATTAAAAAAATCATATATTAATTGCAGACATACAACACAAATAGGCCTATCAATTCAAGTCAGCAATATTTAAAATCGACAATACATTCAAAGGAAACTAATGCAACACAAAACACTGGATCACTACTCAAACAATTTAAATTTCCAATATGATAATAGCTGTGCTAGAAATGAGCATAATAGAAACTTGCTCTAGTATTATAAATATGCTTCTTACCATATCTGATGAAAGATAATACCACACATCATACACCGTATCAAGTGAGAAAATTATAATATCAAATATAAGTAATTCAACATGCTGCCAAAATTCATGTCCATAACCTGCAATGCTCCAAACTCAACGAACAGGTCAAACCTCTAGGCATAGTTGCCAACATTTAACAGTTAAATGAGAAAGCACTCAATGCCGAGAATCTAGTAGGTCAATGGAGAAAATGTGCAGTTAATATGGAAGGAAAATTCATAAAAAAGTAAATTATTTTCCACTCATTCCTTGCAATTATCGAAGTTTCTTGAGATAGAAGATGGTGATAGCTGAAAGTGGTATAGATGTATAGTTTCCTCTATACATGGGCGTGCACCCGGAGCCTGAAGTGCCTCATTTAAAATTCATAATAGAAAATACAAAGTTGAAATACAAGGAATCACGCCGTCCAAACAATGACAAAAATTACGTCCATATCCGAAAACCACAGACATTTTACAGTTCAATGACTCCTATGTCCACCACCACCATTTCCACTGCAAAATATCATCTACTTCTCTTCCATCACAACCTTTGCAATCCTTTCGCACCACATCCACTATCATAGTTAAAAACAACCTTAGACCATGCCACCACAAAAATAATGGCCTCTGGCAGCACCAGGACCACAACCCCAACATTACACTGCCACGCACTAAAACCAGCCGAAACCAGCATATCCTTTGCTGCTAACAAATTAGGATGTTTCTCATTTTTCTAAATAATTATTTTTATTAGTCAACCAAATGCCAGAAACATTCTTTAAAAAGAGTTTTTGAGGCTAATGTCTCTAGTCCTGCCTAATGTGGGAGTTTCATTAACCGCCTCAAAGTTTATGCCTTTAAGCTACGACTTGAATTAGCAATACACTGATACCCGACTTAGCCTTAGTAAACATTGGCCAGGAAATGAATGGTAAAACAAGTTTTTTTCAAAACATGACTTCCAATATAAAGCATTTTAAGCCGAAACCAGTACAGCCTTTGTAGAGAAGATGAGAACATTTTTAATGACACATACATACATAAGTAGCAACATAACCTCAGGATTCTGCATGTCTGATCAGCAAGCTAATAGTGACCCAAACAAGCAAATGCATCTAAAACCTCACCGACTACAACAAAGAATACACCAAGCTTTCAAAATCAATAAAACATATAATGCAAAACTTCGAACACAGCTAAAATATCAAAATCATTCAGCAAAGTTCACATACAATAGATGAAAGGAATTCAAATCACATAAAGCTGTAACGTTAACCAACTTGAATTATCAGTCCATCCAAACAAAACCACGTAAAAACCTCAGTTCTTTTTCTGTATATCTTACCTTAAATTCTTTAATATAAAAGCATTGCAAAAGCATAAAGAGAAAGAACTAAAAAAAAAGCTTCAAACTTTGTAGCATAAATAGAGAAGACACATAATCCCAAAGAACTTACAGCAAAGGGATTGACTTCTTCCCCTTCATCAAAAGGGTTGGGATCGTAACGGCCGGCCATAATTGTAACGGTGTTTCAGTTAAATTGAAATCGAGGAAGAGAATTGAGATCTATGTACTGTAAACTCTATCAGAAAACAAATTAGAAAATGCTAACAGAATTTGGCATTCAAATGTTTGAATAAAGACAATAGGACAGAGAGACAAAAGATTTGTAGAGAGAGAATGTTGGACCAACGTCTTACCTGCGTAATTAATTTAAATTAAAATAGACGGCTTTTTCTTTTCTTTTCTCTTATTAAATAATAATTTATTTCTTTTCTTAAACTTAGAGCTTGTTTGATAGGGATTTTTTTGGGGAAGAATTGATTTTGAATAGTGATATGATGGGAAATGTGTGGTTAAAAAAGAAGAAAATATTATTGATGTGATGGAAAATATTATTTTATTGAAAAATGTGTGGTTGAAAATGAAAATTGATTTACTGTAGAGAATGAGAATCCCTGCCAAACAGCCCTTTAGAAAATATAAAAGAATTTAATTTTCTATTGTTATATTAATGGCATTTTAGGATGTTTACAAATGTGTTGTAGGTGATACGAAGTGAAAATTTAAGTCCATATTTAATATAGATTATTTAAAATTTATTTTTAACTTTACATTTTTTCAGTTTTGCGTATACGTTTATAAATTTTTTCTACTTTTTAATCGAACGTTATTCAAAGAATCACTTTTCACAAAATTAATTTATAAAAAAAATACATCAAACGTGCCCTAAGATTATTTCTACGTACTTTTGATTTAGTATGTTATCGAACTCGTTTAGAAAAAAATGTAATGAACGCTAATCAAACCAAAGGTTCTTTATGTTCTTCTAGAAGTGTTGGATATCAAATGTATGACTTAATTAATTTAGGAACATTCAGCAACAATTTTCTCTTAAATTATTTATCCTTATTTTGCTTTGTGCATTTATTAAAAAAATGAAAAAAGAAAAGCTATTAGTATTTCAAAACGGACAAAGCTTTCGTACTAAAAGTAGTAATTTAGCGCCTGTTTGAGCCCTATTTTTTTTTTGCTCAAAACGTATTTCAGAATATTATTTTATTGGAAAATGTGCGGGCTAAAAAATAAGAAAAAACTCTGAGTTTGCTTGTAAATTGTAATATTATTTTACTGAAAAACATGTGATTAAAAATGAATAAGAAAAACAAATATATTTTGAAAATAATGATAATCAAACAAGGGCATATTAAGTTCTTATTTGATTTGACTAAAAATTATATCTTTAGTGAATTTCGATAAAAAATAAATCTCAGAAAATGGAGTGTGTTTGATACACATTTTTTAGGAGAGAATGCATTTTTTTTTTTTTTGATGTGATGGAAAATATTATTTTATTAAAAAATGTGTGGTTGAAAATGAGTAGAAGAATGAAAATGAGAATGTAGCTCAAACATGGGCGTAGGTTTGAAAATGAATTTTAAAAAAAAATTAAAAAATTGAGCTAAGATTCCATCTAGATAGAGGAAGAAAGAAACAATTTGTTGAATAGACAAGATTGTCTTTATTAGTTTAATTGTACGTAATTTAGTTTATTAATATAGACTTAATTATTAATTCATTGAAAATGAATTATTATTGAAAATGGAGTAGTTGTATTCGTCAAATGAATAATAATGGTGGGCTTGACTGAAATTTCTACATATTCAATATTACTAATTTATTTATAATTATTTGTAAACAATTTCAATTATGTTACAGTTGACCAACCACCAACGATGGCTGCTAGCTAAGTTGAACATTCTTAATCTTCTAGAATAATTTTGTTGACAATGGAAATTCTCCACATTTACACCATCAACTTCCTCATCTCTTTATCTGAATTTTCATTACCCTAAATACAAAAACTAGAAGATAAACCTGAATGAGGGCAATTGTGATTACAAATTCAAAAAAATGAAATAATTATGAGATTTGTGTTTCTATTGCCTAATAAACTATAAAGCAGTACAAATTGGGTGTCATCTTCCATCAAGTTAAACTTTCAACTTATGCCTTCGACTGAGGCTACGTCTACGGCGTCTTGAAAATGGATCTACCCAATTCTTGTCCTCTTTTATAGCTCGTTCCCACCTCTCTTTGAATATTTGAAGTTCTGTAGTTGACTGCCTCCGAATCTGCAAAATCCAACTACCTTTTACAACCAAAAAAACACTTGAATTTATTTTTAATAAATTTGAAATTATTCATTCAAGACCGGTTATCGGGCATATACATTATCTTGACATTATTTTGGCATGATATGTGCAGACAAAGAGGAACACAGAGATAACAGTAATAATAATGCACGATAGATGCAGTTTACTCACCTCTAATCGCACATCAACGCCATGTCTCTGAAGATCAAGAGCAAAAACATGAAGCACGTTAAATCATAGAAAATTCTAACATGTAAAATTTAAAAGAGAGAAAAAAAAAAAAAAAGAATGTGAGCTATACCTTCACATATTTTTGGCGACTTGAACCCTGTAGAGATATCAAACATCTTAAGCTAAGTAAATGGCTCAAGACAAATACTACATGTCCTTAAACATGACTAATTGCTGGATTCAGTCATTTTAAACACTAACAATTAAGGTAAGGAGAGAAGCATTTTGTTTACAAGTAATCAATCAAAATATTGTATATTTCCTCACGTGTGAACTCCACATTATATTCAAAGATTGATGACATTAGTTGTGAGCTTTAGCAAACAGCATGAATTGAACTCGTGTAATTAAGTGATGTAATAACTTCTTATGCTAGAATGCTCATTAGGGAAACCAGAGCAAGATTGAAATAAGTTGCCCTGGAAGTAGAGCCAAACCTTCCAAAACTTGCATGAAGTAGTAGTAAATGGACCTTATCTTTTTGAGTAATGCAACTTCATTTGAGATAGTTGTGAAGTCATACACGGATTAATAAACTTAAACATCAGGTAATTTTAAAATGTTGGACAATTGCAGACTACAGATGAACTCGTGCCAGTTTAACTGAAAGCAGTGGTGAAAACGAAGCAGGGGAAAGTGGGGGTGTTAAAGGAAGTCACCTTTTTTGCAGATGCCCCACCGAGAGTTTGTATACTCTGATGAACAATATATTCACTATCAACTACTCCCACCTTCTTTGTGCGGTCACCCTACGAAAGTTCCAATTTTATACAAGACCGGGTTACAAAAATCACCGAAAACAGTTTTACAAAATTTATACACCTTTGTCTAAATTGCTATAAGCCTATTAATTATTGAGCTTATGAATCAGGCAGATGCTTAGTTTAAACTAGCACATGAAGTTTAACAGTGCTAACTCATGCGAAGCATGTGATTTATGTCGGGCCCAAAATAATCTCCGATTTAGTTTTGCTAGAACCCTTTCCGGGGACAAAAGGGTGGCACTGTTTTGAAAGAACTAAAAAATGAAGGTCTTGGTACAAGAAGAAGAAAGAGGAATAGGAACTTGTATATTTTCCTGTGAAATAAGAGTTCATTGGGAAGGGACAGAAGTACAAAAACTTCATTGGTAGCAAGTATAGCACAGGGTTATAATGAGTTTAAGCACCTGTTATTCTATCTTATTGCCAATTGGAATTAAGAAAGACATTTATATTTGAATTTGATTAAAAGCTCTCATTTTTAGTACATGTGGAACAATCTCTTTAGCACAATAAAACAAAACTCTACAAGTTAATACGTAAACAGCAAGTTGACAGTTATATCATCCAATCATCCCCTAAGCAATCAAATTACCTGAGCACAGTAGCCGAGTTTCATGTCCATCCCCCATCCATGAACAAGATCATTCTAACAGACGAGACAGCCAGTTGTAATTTATTGAAATGCCAAAAAAAATGCAGAACTTACTCAAATTGGAGTTATACAGTAAAACATTCATATAAGCAGGGTTTTTAGGGCTGGTTAATTAACTAGACTGGAATTAATAACAATATAAACAATTTCAGAAGCATCGTAGCATAGACCACAAAAGTTTTCATCAGGGCAACACACTGGCGGACCACTAGTGAATAAAAGACACTAAATCAATCCCTTTAATTCGGCCATACACACTACATTGAATCGGCTTATCACTAAAGCAACAACAATTATGATCAGATAATTTAAGGAATGGAGGGGAGGGGAGTGCATCCAAAGTTTTTCTTTTCTGAATCTTTTGTTTTTTTGCTCGGAAATCAGAGAAAAAAAAAAGTAGTTGCAAAAGGTACTATGTTTAATGTAGGGAACATCAAAATTTTTAGGTCACATACAAATAATTTTCCCTAAATGACGAATATATTTTGAACATCTAAGCTCTTCTTTGAGTAATTTAGATAAAGGCACATACTGTGTAAATTACTACACCAATAAGGATTATAGAAACTATTGCACTTCTCACATGCTTACTTCAATAAATTTCACACCATAAGATCTATGAAAGTATGAATTTTGTTCACAGGAAAGCACCAACACCTACCTGTATCAAATGCCAGGCACAATCCCATGCAGATTTTGAAAATACTGGAGCCATTCCTTCCACAAATCTGAAAATTTGAAGTGATCAACATGTTTCTCTAAATTGTATAACAATTACTCCCTATGACCATTCAGTATGCAGAAATCAGATTGTTCAAATTATTAATTCTTTTGTATGGCACCAAGATAGATCATGCTTAGAGTTTCCCTCTTATTTTTATTTCTTTTCCACTGTACATAACATCACATTATGGTGGATACATACATGAGTATTTCATTTCGATACTGGATTAACTATCCAGAATATTTATTTCCTGTACATGTAAGATCATTTGACTAGCATTTATTATATACTTGCAAGATATATATTTTTTTAATAAAGGAGTAATAGTTCATCATTTTCAATAGAACTCACTAAAACTAGCATTAAGTTAATGTCAATCATAATGGTATGTTGTCAATCAGATAATTTGATATAAGCCACGGAGAGAAAATTGTTGAAATCCATTTTACTTTCCTTTCTAGCATCATTCCATGACTGAGCAATAGAATGGTACTTAGCATTTATTGTTCACAAAAGGTCAAACGATAATTTCATCCAACCAATTCCATATCATAATGAGGCCTCAAGCAAGCAAGGGTTCATTACAATACTCTATGACAAGTTCTCTGCGATGAAACATACACATATTGAGTTATTTGCACAGAAAAGAAATTATGAGAAAAATTCATTTTCAGAATAGCAGGAGTAACATACCCCGTGCAAGGAGGCCCTTCACTATCATCTGAACATTTAACACTTCCTCTGACATCATATACTCTTCTGCTTAAATCAGAATATGTAAGTACTAACACCAAAAGTATATATAGATGGAATTCAGAAGTCCGACCGTGTAACTCTATGCCCAATTTACCTGTGGAATTTATGCATTCTATTTCTTATTGTAATCCTGTGATGTATACCAGTTGAATTTGGGTCCAAAGCTGGCTGAGATATCTCCAGTCCTTCTGATCTTACAATTTCCAGGTACCTGTCGTTGAAGCAAAAATAGGGAATCAAATAACAGATTCCAGGAGTTAAGAGCAGCCATCAAGGAAGGATAACCCTTCATGGAACTTGCATGGTTGGAACTAGTATTTTCTACTCGGATTAATCTGGAAACTATACGTGGTATCTTTACATGCCAAAGTACTCATTTGGCTTAAGACGTAACAACTTCCAATTCTTACAGAGAAAAATACAGCATTTGTCAACTCAACATAATGCAGCAAGCTTAGAGAGGTAACTGGTATAAAAAATTATTCTGTTATTTTGGATAAAATCAGCAAAATAGAAGGACAAGGACATAATATCACATAGGTGCAACAATTGTACCTTCCAGGATGGAAATTATCCACCCCCAAATCTTCATCCCACAGGAATATGTAATCATAAATAGACACAACTGCCGGATGTAAAAAGCGTTTTGCGAACCACCTGAAATAAGAATAAAATACAAAAATTACATTAAAAACAATAAACTTTAGTGTGCTTAGGACATGAGCATTTGAAACAAACATCTGCATCAGATATCGATTCAAACCATTTCCTATTTAGTGTTTAAGACTTTACAAATATCTGAATTGGTCATTCAAACCATTTCCTATTTTCTAGTAAGTTGAATTTCATGGTATGTAACACGTTGCAATAAATAATCCTTAGGGAGGAGGTCAACGGTGAGAGCAGTTTGAAATTTGGAAAGATTGTGGCCCTAATTTGTTCCCATGTATACCATACTATAATTTAGAAGTCACGGGAACTACTTTAAAATCTGATTTTTGCATGTTACTGCACAATGTAACAAGAGGTGAACTAATTACTGACAAGTGTTAAAAAACTGATTTTTTGTGTAATTTTGATAATGCTACTTCTTTATTGAACTCTCATCTCTTGTTTTGGCATCAAAGTTCCATTAGTTCTAAAAATCTTCAAAAAGGCTGCATGCTTACCTTTGATTGATACAGTTGCACAATTTTCACATATTTAATTACAAAAATTCAACTTTGGGCAGATGGACGAGAAACTGAATCGAATTACCCTGTCTTACCACTTTGTTTGGTTGTGAGCAACAATATGTATAGCTTCCTTGCTCCATTCCAAGTCCCGCCATCCATTTACATTGCAATCATAATGGAATAAAATAACTGTAAAATTCTCTGAAAGAAACTGAAATTAAAAGATTCGGGCAATGGATGAGGACAGTTAAAATACTATGAATCAGCATAGAGATTTCAAAAGTTCAAACATTTATAAAATTGACACCTTTTGAACTATAGTATCAACATTCTCCTTTTGCCTAATCCCTACTGGCATTGCTAACAAATTATGAGCACTTCCAACGTTATCCTGAAAATTGAAAGTTAAAGGAGGCCATGTATTAACATTAGGTCATTGCTTATGTTACCATCAAAAAATTTATCAGACCACATTAATCAAAGGATTACAAATGCTCACGATCCAGGGGAATAGGAAAGAAATCAGCATATTGACTACACAGAAAATCAGTTTCAAACGTTTACCTGTGACTTAGTACTGCTAGTAGTCCATAGAGGCTTTAACTCCAGGTCTGACCTTGGTTCGATGATTCCATGGGGTAAACTATTTAAGCTTGAGGCAGCCATACCTCCATCCTGGATAAAAGCATCAATAGTACCTCAGTGTTGCAATGAATGAATATCATAAGTTTCACTAAAGTTAGTGATACGTACAAGAATAATACAATGAAGTGTTAACATAAGTAATGTGATGAGAAGCTAGATTAAGATGATTACCTTTAATGTGTAAAAGGGGTGCAATTTTGATTCAATCTGATAGAAAGAAAAGGTTAAAGTGGTTATAGACAAACTATGCATAATCTCTTCAAAGTTCAAAGGGAAAAAATATTAAGCAAACTTGAAGTTATTTAGAGGTTCTTATCATTAAAAAAAAAAAAAAAGTTATCTAGAGGAACTCCGTTTGCATTGACAAAAATATGGTATCCAGAAAATCGATCAGCACAAGTTTCCAACTGGTTACTTTTTGGGAACATACAAGAACATATTGGGTGTTAGAGGAGTTGGGCAACCGCACGGCAGGATGCACGGATGACTAGGGTTGGGTTCTCTGATGCATGCACCGCACATCATAGCCCAAATTCATATAAGAGCACTCAAAAGCACAACTGAGAAAATCAATTATATACGGACTACATACCTCTGTCTGTTGATACTGATAATTTGTGGTCCTATACACAATGAATAACATTACTGTACAGACAATTCCCATTAACGGCAGCTGCTTCATCTTTACACCACATACTCCCTGCAACACCATTGCGGTTCCGACTATACGTTAAACATTCTTACCTTAAATTGCTAGTCAGTAGCTTATACCAAAATTAAAATAAACATGTGTAAGGAGCATACCCCCTCAAATGAAAAATGTCCTTTCTTTAATAACAAATGCCATGATTTGGATGCCTTCATACTTCATACGCAAATTTGAGTTTATACAGTCTGGTAACAAACTGCAATAAATGCATGCATATCTGATATTTTATTTGACCAACAGATGCATATAAATCTGTAAAGACACATGCAATAGGCTAATAGCCAGTGACTTTTAACAAACACGCATCCAACTAGAGATTGCAATAATTACTGATTAATGACAAATTACCACCAAATAACATAAAAAGTAAGCACTAATCAAACAGCAATAACAATTAATAATAAATACATTATAATATCCCCCTTTACCAAAACGAAAAATAATATTAGCAATCTTTATTTATCCGAAGTAAATTTCAAGAACTGGATCGTGGTTTCAATCATCATTTCTCAATCCACCCATTATCATAACTAAAACAAAAATGGAAATCTAGAACGCAAAACACATACCTTAGGCCTTAAATTCAATTAGTCCGATAATCACGTGATTCAGTCGTGACTGAATCCACAGCTGAAAACAAGCCGTGTCTGTATTAGATTGGCTACAACGAACTGTAGCTCTACAACAGAGTACTGTATATTTCTCTCTCTGTGTGTGTGTGTGTGTGGATATATCTATATATATTATATATGGTGTGTGTATGAAGGGAAAGATCCTGGACAGACAAGACTGACAGAGGAAAGAGATAATCAAAGGCGCCGGCTCGTACAAAGCGGAGAGAATTGTGGGAATGCACTGTAGAATAAATAGTTCAGTATATGAATATGTAATTAATTACTTAATTTAATTAATACGAATAGGATTCATTTTTATACAATAAACTGTATAAACGTGTATGATCCTTATAGGAACAATGAGTTGGTATTTTCTATGAACTAACATGTGGATGGGTGAATGGGCGCGTCTAGTTGTATTTAAGGATTCGTTTGAAATGACTTTTAAGAAGTCACGTGAAATTAAGAAGTTGTTTTTAGATTTATTTGGATAATTTTATATGGAACCCGTTTCACATTGCTAAAAGTTATTTCTAGGATTCAGAAATTGCTTTTGAACGTATTTTGATAATTTTTTAAAAGTGTCTTCTAGTTTAAATGGCTTTTATAGCAATTTGGTCATGGTGGCTTCTTCATTATACCCCTAAAAGTATTTCACTATTTTGTCTCATTAAATGAATTTTTAGACAAAATTGATCCAAAATGAATTACTCATAAAGTTTTATTGCAAAAGTAAAAGTAGAAGAGAAAGTTATCTCGAACCAATCATGCTATAAGTACAGTTTTTTTTTTTAAAAGAAAATTTTGACAGACAACATTTGGCGTGACACCATTGAAAGATAAGAAAAAGGCCAATCAGATTCGGCCACATCAGCGTCGGTATCAATTTTGACAAAATTTTCCTGTAATTTTCCTTTATTGATCCAGAACAAACCATAATTATTTTACTTAAAATGTATTCACCAAAGCCCATGGCAGATGGGGGCCGCTAAGGATGCGGTTCATCCTTTATTTTACTTAAAATGTAATTGTCACTTTTTGACTTTTGAGCATCTAAAATTTGGTGTTTGTTTAATTTTGTGTTTATAGACTTTTAAAATGAAATGGGAAATGCAATAAATGTACATGTTATCTTATTGTTTTGACATAAATTTCAAAATCACTTCTCCTTGTGAAAATAATTATAGTAGTAGTGAAAATATTTACTCAAGAGACCAAAATGGGAATTGATGGGTACGTTCGAGTTTGATGGTAAAAGATTCGTTTAACAATACGTAAAAATACATATATTGTGAATAATACATATTTAACGATGACAATTCTAATGAAGTTATATGCACGCTGCTTAACTAACATCAAATCTTCTCCGTACGTAGGTCGATGTATTATATTAAGTTGTTTAACTTGTCAATAGTATGAAACTTCGAAACAATTGTATCTGTATTTAAGTTTGTATTTTTAAACTTCAGATAATACAACTACAAAAACATAAGTCAATTGTCGTTTAGCAAATGTTATGGGATTAGGTGAACAATTGATTAAGTCGAGAATTGTTGATTTGCCCCTTAAGTCACGCTATTTCTTAAATTCAAGTGATTTTGTGGTTTCAATAAGCATTGAGCTCAGCCACCAAAATTATGAAATTTTATTATTGCAACCTATCTTTGAGAGACACATTGCTTCATTAGGGTACACGTGGTTGAGTTAGTTAATCAATTTGGATATCAATGGAAGTTCTATTAATAGATTTAAATCATTTCACTTATAGTATAGAATCAAATAATTGAAGTATAGATATAGCTATCAATGGAAGTTCTATCAATTTCTTCTTTTTTTTTTTTTTCCTTTTCAAAAAAGAATGTGTTGACCTTCGAATTCGATTGGATCTAAGGATTCAACAGTTTCGATTAACATGTATGTCAAATGCATATTTGGACAACCATAATAAAGCACAAATTGTCGCTACGGAGGGGGGAGAAACGGTAGTATGTACTCTGAAGCTCACACCAATGTGACGAACAATATTTGTGAATGTAGAAACATCAAATACAGGAATATAAATTAATAAAGCACAAATTGTCGCTTCGGATGGGGGTGCAACGGTAGTATGTACTCTGAAGCTCACACCAATGTGACGAACAATATTTGTGAATGTAGAAACATCAAATACAGGAATATAAAGGGATTTATCTTCCTATTTCAGTTTTGAGTATTGAATTTATTTTGGGTTTTGTGTTCTGGGTGTTTATTTTGAGATTGCTGAAAACGAGTTCTTTATGTCATTTTGAACAATTGTTTTCAAAAATTAAAAAAATGAAGTTTTGACTTGATTTTAATTGAAAATAGCCAATATGACTTTTTTGGCGTTTTCCATTTTCTTTATAAATTTTAAACTCGTTTTTGGAAATTTGTTTCTGAAAAATATGTAAGTAAACGTGTTTTTAGTGTTTTCGAAAATTGAAAACTGAAAATTACCTGAAAAGAGTAAAGGAAAAAACAAACTAAGGGACCGTTCTCTTTGGCGTTTTCGGATCGTTTTTGATTTTCCAAAATAGTGAAAACGCGTTCACTTTCCTATTTTCGAAAACTCGTTTTTGAAAACTAAAAATTTTTTGTACACAAAACTAGAAAAACGTTGTTTTGGACGTTTTCAAGCCAATCCCACGAAAACAACCAAAACGCGGGAAACGGCTAAAAAAGGCTATTGTTCCTTCTTTAGCCAAAATAATGGTGGAGCAGCCACTTTTCAACCCTCTAAACTCCGGTCATCCTCCTCCACCACCACCGGATTTGCATACCATTGTGAAGCCATCGATCCCTTCTTCAATAACCACACAAACCACTACCCAAACATATACCAAAATCAATCAAAAATCATCCTCCAAAATTGAACTGGCCATAACTACTTTTGCCGAAATCTCCAGAAATCGTCACAAGAAATACCCCAAAAATTGCCACCAAAATCGCCACCACCACCCTCCAAAATCGTCGCCAGAAATACCCCTACTACCACTACCACAGCCAAAGCCAAAATCGCCACCAGAAAATACCACCATCGCCCAGCCAAAATGGCGAACCGACCATCACAAAATCGCATTGGAATTGAGACCCAACTACAGCCACCGCCTGCACCAACCACCGCCAAGTCGCGACGCAACCATCGTCGCAACCCAACCAACCACCGCATCAAAGAACGAAAAAAATAAAGATGAAGAGGGAGATCGCAGGGAGCGTCTAAACCCAAACCACCACCGCCCGCTCGCGGGGAGATCTCACATGGATCGCCGTTCGCAGGAAGAGAGAGAGAGAGAGAGGCAACGACCCAAAATGAAATGGAAACGGAGAGAGAGAACACATTTTGGTTTTGTTTATTTTCGAAAATAATTTTTCAAAATATCAAAAAGAATGCAATCAAACGGACCCTAAAATTAATCGTTAATATTTAATCAATGAATAAGTACTCGGATTAGAACTTGAAACGGAAAGCATATATGTGTGTATCCTTATTCGAAAATTTAAGGGTATGTTCTTTTTTCCATTTTCAAGCCGTTTTCTGTTTCGATTTTCCAAAACAAGAAAAACGCGTTTTCTTTCCCATTTTCGAAAACACGTTTTTGAAAACAAGTTAAAAATTTACAAAAAAATTTGTCCTTTTTGGTGTTTTCAGTTATAATCAAGTCAAAATTTTCAAAACGTGTTTTGGGCGTTTTCAAAATAACTTTTCAAAAAGGCAAAAAGAACACATTTTCAACAATCTAAAAATGAAAACTCAAAACACAAAACCAAAAATGAATTCAAAACTAAAACACAAAGAGAACGGCCTCTAAATTTTTAGTTTGAATTTTACATTACCTTTAAATGATACATCAAGGGGCAGCCGAAAGAAATTTTTTGGATATGTAACACGTGGTCTCAACTGAATGACCACTTTGCAAGCTTAGTCACGTCAATTGCTAGCCTTTTGCAACTTCTCACTCTACCTTTAGGTGGATTAATAACGATTTGTTTGCCAGTTGTCTTAAACCATGTCACTCTACACACAACTCAATATGTAAGAGAAATTATGATACAAGTGAATAATTCATTGTACATAATGATGTTCACACTCTCATATGGATAGATATCCACTTCGGAACCACATGTAAGAAAGCTTCAAGGCATCTAGAGTTAACCTCAACCGCCTCAAATAGCAGAGGCCCATTTCACATGGTCAAAGGTTTGGGTCTATCACCATTGCCTCAGATCGCATGAGAAGTGAAGCGAGGATGAGCAGTGTCGCCTCGGAGGGAAAGCTATCCGAGAAGTATGATCACCACTAAGCCCTTGTGAGGCATTTTCTTTAGTCGTCACTCTAGAGGACATATGCGTAATTGCATGTAAAACATTTCATAATTTTTTTATTTTATTTTATTTTTTAATTTAATCTTTTTATATGAAGGCTCACACCATATAATTGTCAATTATTCTAAATACATGAAACACATATAAATTAATTTACTATCGAGATTGTCTAGAGAAAATAATGCAAATGAAGACAGAGT